TAATGTCTACTTTGTTGCTTTCCTATATATTTTGCTATAGTTTGGTTTCTGTTGTTGTTAGACAAATAGTCATTAGAAAGAGTTTGCTGAATTTTTGTTTAACAATATACATTGACTTTTTTGTTTATATTTATATTTAAATATGAGATAATTTATTTATTATTTAGATAAATTTTATTTACTTTTTAAAAAAACATTTTTTTTATATACTTTAGGATTAAAAATTATATATAAAATTTAGCAAGAAATTTTTTTACTTAAAGTTCAAAAGTTGATTAAAATAAATTAAATATCTGAATAACTTATTTATAAACTTTTGAGAACATACAATCTTACTAATAAAGACAAAATAATAATAGTCTTTATTGCAGTTCCGGGTCATTGGATTGGAAGTTTGGATTTCTGGAGGTATGAGTAAAAGTTTGAAAGTAGGTACTGGAGTTTAGATAAACTCTACAAGGGTAGTAATAGATAACTGTAGTGGCCTCAACTTACAAATACTTGTTTTCGAACTTAGTATAAGTTACCAAAAAGCCTAGACTAAAAATGTATAGAATATAGAAAGATTAGAGGGGTATATATTACACACTCCCTAGAATAATCCAGTAATATAAGAATCCTATTGGGTTATTTATAAAATTAGTGCACAAGTAGTATAGCATATGTTTATCTGGGTAGTCTTTAATGAAGCAGCATGAGGTTATAAGCTAATGTAATTGTAGTAATAATACAAGATAGGTAATCAAAAATATATTACTAAAATATCTAATAAAAATTCGCTTGTTCACGATATTGCAAAGATAAAAAAAAATAAAATAAAATAATAATAATAATAATAATAATAATAGTCTTTATTACTTTATAAAATAATTGTAAAATCAGCAAAATATACAGATATAATTTCATAAGCAGAATTTTAAGATATTAATTTTTTTTAAAAATTTTTATTTTGTTATATATATATTACACATAATTTTGCAAATTTATTAGTGATTTTAGGAGGTGAGATCTCACTCTGAGTGAAAAATAAATATGCTCTTTAAATATTTATACTAGTATTTATAATTGTTTAAAAAATATTTGTATTTTTTTTTCTTTGACAATTCTGTTTACTTTATTCTGAGAACAGACTTTTATTCTTACATCGGTATATGAAGAAATCTAAATCTATAATATTTCTATCAAAAGATAAACTTACTCATGATGTATCTCATAAGTATCATAATATCTACTTGCAGTCAGAGCAAACTATTAAATTGTTGTGTTTTGTCTAGATGCAATCTGTCTAGTAAATAATTGACTTCCTCCAGAGATTCAAAACTTACTTCAGACTTATTTCTTCTAGATTCTTTGGCTAGTTGTTGCACTGCATCATCAAGATTCCCATCCTATAATAAAATGCTACCAAACTGATAACACTTTTTTGTAGAAAAAAAAAAGAAAAAAAAAGAATAATAGGAAATGAAAAAAGAGGTATATAATAAAAACTAATATATCAAAGAAAACAAATACTAAGAAGTAAAAATTTAAACTAAAACCTAAAAGAAATTATTGCTAAAAAGAAAAAAACTTTTAATCAAGCAAAAACTTCTAATTATACAGAGTAACGATCTATTATTAAGTGCAAAAGTCTTAACAAAAACTTATAACAAAGTGTATTATAACTTGTGCTAGAAGCTAAAAATTATATATAAATAATACATTGTATATCTCAAAACACTTTGCTTAATTTTTTCCATTAAATCCATATCTTTATTCAAAAGTATAAGGACTTTAAAAACTCTATATGACTTATTGTTATCATTTCATTCATTTTATAATATGTACTGATTTGTCATTATTTAGTTTCCTGATATAGAAGTAATAAACAATGCCAATCTTTTAGAGGATAAGCTGAATTCCTCACAAAAATTTTAAAACTAAAGGATAGCAAGGGAGTATCGAGTTTCTGTGAATTTTTTAACCAAGGAGTGTTATTCTAAAAGTTCTTTATAATCTTTTATCTTCAAACAAACTTTAGTTTTCTTTTCTATTTGCTGTTTTCAGAAACTTCTCTAGTTTGAATACCAAATGCAAAAGGGAGTCCACCTAAGAAGATAAGAAGAAAAAGGTTTACCTCTTTGCAAACCATCCAAAACACCCACTCTTTAATATATTATTTTTAAAGACTTTGTTAACAACAGTTTGTATCAAGAAACCTTCCAAGTTGTTATTGACTTCTAGGTTTGAATCTTCAACTTGCTTTCAATATTAGGTTGGTACAAGTGATCATTAAGAAGAGTTTGAATATCAATATTAATTTAAACTTGCTAAAAATATTTATATTTTAAAAGTTAATAAATTAGGTTTAATCATATATTTTTATAGTTTTGAATATTTTTGCTTAAAATATTAAAATAAATTATTTTAATAAAATCTTGAATAATTTAGATTTGTTTTTTTTATTCAAAATTATTTACAATTGTTTACAATTTGTTTATAGCTATTTTATATAACATTGCTTTAGTTAATAATTGTTTTGTATAAACTAGTAAGTTTAAATAAAAAAAGTAGCATAATTGTCAAAATAAAAAAATTTAAATATACAGTATTTTAATAATTAAATTTTTTTATAATAATAAAAATTAAAATAATTTTTCTAATTTAATATAAATTTGTAAAGTATATTTTAAGTTAATACAGTATATGGAATTATTTATTTATAAATAAATAAATTTTTTAAAATAAAATAAAATAAAATAAAAAACTATATAATATATAATATATAATTTATAACAAATTTATTAAAAATATTTTTATTTAATCTACTGGTATATTACTAAAAGATATATACAGTATTTGTCTGTCTGTTTATTTATTAAACTGCAAGTACGTATGTAGATTTATAGCAAAACACGTGTAGAATGCTAGTACTTCAAAAATGGGTTTATTATCAAATAACGATGATAATATAAAAAAAAATATACCAAATACTGTACCAAAAATATTATAACAATATTTTATATAATATTTGTAAAAAAATTTTTTTAAAAAAATAAGGTTAACAATACAAAATAAAACCATTATACGTATTGTATGTATTAATTCATTTTATTGCATAAGATTCGAATCTAATCAATGCATGTATAAAAATGCTTTACAAGCTTGATTGGACCAAAGATTAAATTATTATTTTATGAAGATGCAACCAGTTTCTTTCTTTACCACATAACCGCGCGGATAAACATTGTGTAGATCGACATAAAGAACATGAACAATTTGTTTGTTTATTTTTTTTTTCACAGACATAATTAATTTTCTTTTTTTTCTACCAAATTAAGGATTTAGGTTACGAATGTGTGATATTTGAGAAACACTATTTTTATTTTGTATTTTGTATTTTGCATGAAATGAATAAGCCATTCAGCTGTTGCTGTCCGTAGGTTCCAAATGTCAAAAAAAGGCTAAAACCAAGACACAACATAGTGACTTCATTATCGGAAAAGGTAATAATTGGGTGGCAGCGGGTAAAAGAGAAAAACGTTAGCAAGGCTTGATATCTTGTTTGTTGGGTATGCATCCAATCACGTTTTCGAATATCTTCGTTGTGAGCTCATTCAAATACACAAAATCATCCAACAAGTGTGAAACAGGATGGGACATTGTATACATTACCATAGTACCGGTCGATAGGTTGAGCTATAAGAGAATATGGAATCTTTGTGAAAAGATAATTAATTCGAAAGATGGTCGTGTGCGCGGTAAATCTATTTAGATACGTACGTACGTACAGTACGTACGCACGAAGTTTAAGATAAATTAAGTCAGATCTTGAACAATTATAGAAAAACGTTTTTATCATGGACGATCCAATTTACAACCTACATCGTGTGTGGTGTTAAAGTCAAAAGTGTTACCAGGTGGTTTTGAGAGTTGCCAATTCAGGAAACACGGGCCTCGCGTCATCAAATTTACGTCACGAAAATTGTAATTTCCTCTCAACAAAGTCATTCCTTTTTGATCATTATTATAAAGTCACAGAGGTACCGAGATTGATAAGTAACTTAGGTAACTTCACAATTCTAAAGTTGCATCTATGATTTATCAAATTGGAAAATTTAAAATTTGGATTTTGGTATAATTTGGAAAAAATTGCTTTACTTGTGCTACAGTTTTTGTTCTCTCGATGGCTTGTCGTGTATGCCTTACATGGGTTGTGATACAATTCTAATAAAAGGCATCATCGTCGACAAGTGCTTGTTTCAGGTGATAATTATTACATATTTAAAATCCTTTTGTAAAATTCGGTTGCAAAATTCGTTACTTGGGATCTGCATAGAGCATTAGGTTTTCGTATACCTTATTTGTTTAAGTCTGTCAGGACTAGGATCACGAATTCTATTGATTGGTGTGGATTATTTATTATTGTATAAATGGTCCCCCGGATTTGCTTTTTGGTTCTTTTTCGTAAATAGTCCCACGCCCTATAATCCTATGATCTTTATTAAAATATCCGCTGTTTCTTTTCTTTAACTTGCGTCGTACCGTATCACCAAATGTCACATTGTCACCCCCTGCCCGCATACATTCTATCGTTTTCGCTCTGCCCATTTTTTCCCACCTTTTAAAAAAAACACTGACGACAGAATAAACAGAGTGTAGACTCAGTTGTGTGCTGTGCTTGCTCAAGCCCTTTTAACAGTTGTGCTGATTCTCAAACCAAAGCACAAGTTCTCCGTGTGCTTGAGTTGTTGCTTCTTTTCACTACACACACAAACAATCCCCTTCACCCTCAGTTTTAGTTCGCTGGTTAAATAAAACCTTTTCTATCAACAAAGAAAACCCAACCTTTTCTTAGTCTTGATTTCATTCCCTTCTCTATCATCACGCTAACTTTGAAGCTCGATTGACTTTCTCCAGTCGAACTCTCAAAGATTTTAATTTGAAAGACCAATCTCCGCCTATTTGCGGTTTGCTTACTTTCGCACTCTCGCAACTTTTTCATTATTAAGTCCATAATAATGGGAGGCGACGTAGTCGTGGGTGGATATTGGTTAGTCGAAGAAAAAATCGGAGAGGGGTCTTTCGGTGAGGTCTTTCGAGGTATGTATTCTGCTTTAATCGATTTTGTTTCGTATCGATTTTTTTTTCGTGTTTGTATCTTTCTTTCTCGAAAAGTGCATGAATTGTTATATGGTCAATTCTTTATAACCATTGTTATCTTTTTGACTTTTTGTCTTCGATTGAATATCTCTCATTCATACATGTATTGACCATTTTATTTTATTTTATTTTTTTTATTAAAAGCCGTGCACACGAAAACCAATGAACGATATGCGATAAAGCGAGAATTAATTGAAGTTGCTCATCCTCAACTGCCGCATGAGGCTGAAGTGCTCAAGCTACTTAAAGGAGCGAGTATGTTTAATGCTATGCAATTATTATTTATTATTATTATTATTATTTTCCTATTTATTGAAACTTCATTAAAATGCGTTTTTATGTAAGGTTTCATACCAACTGTACATTGGTTTGGAACAGAAGGCATATATCATGCCATGATTATTGATTTATTTGGGCCCAACCTGAGATTACTACGAAAAGCATATGCAAAACTTCCTGTACATTTCGTTAGTGACGTGGCTCAGCAAATGGTATTTTTAATATTTTCCTATTTTTTTAAATTTGTTAAATTTGTTAAATTTGTTATACAGTTTTATTTTTTCTAATACTTTACTTGTAATTTATCAGGTAACGATATTAGAATACATACATAAACAAGGTGTTGTGTACAGGGACGTTAAGCCCGATAACTTTCTTCTAGAAAAAAACTTTCCGTTACAAATAAGTCGGCTTGCCGCATTTGATTCTGATGATGATGCATCAGAAGCAAAGCTTAAGGATCTAAAGCTTTTGGTCAGCAGAAAACACCATATTAGTATCGTGGATTTTGGTAAATGTTTGATTATTTGGATGTTAAAGTCTTATTATGAATAATCTATCTTATGTTTAACTATTTAATATGTTTTTAGGGTTATCTTCGTTCTATATAGATCATGAAACCGGAAAGCATATTCCAAAAAATCAACATCTGACAAAAAATAAAACTGGAACAGCTCGTTACGCTTCTCTAAGTGTTCACAAGGGACTTCGTAAGTAATTAATTCATCATTATCTAATTTATATCTGATTTTACTCTTTTTTTCATTCATGCTCATTACATTCAAATAGAGCACTCTCGTCGTGACGATATGGAGTCTCTAGGTTATGTTTTGCTAGAATTATTACGAGGTGATCTTCCTTGGGCTGGAGTTACCGCACGTAATTCACGTCAAGGGTGGGCAAAGATGTTAAAGATAAAAGAGGAAATCCCATTAGAGGAATTATATGACGGCCTTCCAAGAGGATTTATGCTCTATCTTCAATATACAAGAAGTTTACAGTACGATGAAGAACCGGATTATAATCGCTTGCGAAAATTGCTAGCGTATGCATTTGTAAATTTATTTGTTTCAATTACATAGCTTGTATACTAAAAATTCACTATTTTTTATAGTGATACGGTTGGAAGTGGGATGGAGGCCGAAAAAGTGACTAGAGAACCTCTATTTTTTGATGATGTTTGTGAACGTCCTCTTTCTCCACGTCAACGGAGTATTAGGTCACAATCTCCGCTGACGATAAAATCACCACGTGGTGGAAATGATTATGATGATGATGTGGCTTATGCTTCCCCTCCACCATCACCTTTTTATAAAAGAAAGAACTTTTCATGGCGTACTAAAAACAAGGACGAAATTAATTGTTTTGGTACACCAGAACGTTCAAATTCTTTAACCATATCTCCTAGCACAAATACGACTCCATATCAAAAATTCAATACTGTATCTTCTCGTTCATTCTCGTTACCTTACCGTGATCCTGGTTACGCAGATAACGGTTACCATCCTAATGGTCGGGATGAACGACGTGCAAAACGTCCTGAAAATATCAGAAAGCCACCTTATGTTAGAAGGCATTCCACAAAAACCCCTTGGAACATTGTTAAAGATTCAAATACGCAATGGGAGCAAGATGTTCAGCAGAAATGTGAGAATGCTTGGAAAAATGGTCAATCTTGGAATGATAATAATTTCGATAGCCAAGAAATAAATTCTGTTCCCTCAACTCCAATTAATGAGCATGGATTTTGGATTGATAATGCTGATCAAGAATTTCAAGGCTTTGATGGTGGATTAGTTGGTGATTCTGATGGTTGGATAAATCATGTTAATGATGAGAATATTTTTATGACAGAAAAATCACCTAAAAA